GCATGTGCCCTGACAGTAATCTAACCCTCCCTCTCAGTCCATGGGACGATGCTCAATCCACTGAGCCACACCGGCTGGGCAAGGTTGTTTTAAAAATAATAATAAATTGAAGGCAAGATTCCACCAGCAAAAAAGATTACAACTCACTTTATTGTGGTACTTTACTATGGGGGTTTGGAACCAAACCCACGATATCTCCAAGGTATACCTAAGCTTAGATCCTTTCTAGGATACTATATTACATTTAGTCATCTTTTCTCCTTACTCTGGTCTGTGACAGTTTCTCTCTCTTGTTTTTGATGACCTTGATAGCTTTCAGAAGTATTAGCTATTCATTTTGGGTTTGTTTGATGCTTTCCTCATAGTTAGACTGGGATTGTGGGTTTTGGAGAGGAATATCACAGTGGTGGCATATCACTCGCAGCTCATCTTAGCAATAGTGCATACTGTCTGCAATGACTACCGACTGATACTAACCTTGATCACCAGGAGGGGCCAGTGTTGATCACGTTTCTCCACTTAGCAAATCATTAAGCACTGTCTACACTGGTGAGAGGGGGGTGGGTTGGGGTTATAATCTACCTCCTGGAGGAGGAAATAGGTACAGTAAAGCATTTGTAATTAAGAGACATTTGTCTCTCTCCCAACGTATTTACTTGTTTATTCAGTCATTTATCTATGTCAGTATGGACTCATGGATACTTAATTTTTTTGAAGCCAAAATATACTCAATGTGACGTTTTATTATACTTCTTGGCTGTGGTTTCTTCCTTTTTCTTACACCAGTTTATTATGAAATTAATTTTTCATTTATACATTGCATTTTAATTGTTCCGAAAGCCCAAAACTGTAGGTTACAAATGCATATGAGTTTATGACAATAAAATGATGTACTTTTAACACAACCTATTTTGTATAGTAAAATTTATTTTATTTATTCTGTCATTTAAAGTTGCCTCATTTAAGAAATTTTGTACACATTAAGTAAAAAAAAACTGTCAACTAGTATATCAGTACTTCCAATGTTGAGTTAATTGGGTATTACCTAGCATTGAATTTTTACAACTACTCATGTTAAAATTTTTTTTTTTTTTATCCTCACCCGAGGACATTTTTCCATTTTTTGTTCAGGTAGAGTGGGAGGGAGAGAGAGGAACAGAGAGAGAGAGAGAAACATCGATGTGAAAGGGACACATCGAGTGGCTGCCACCCGCACAACCGACCAGGACCGGAGACAAACTGCAACCGAGGTACGCGCCCTTAGCGGGAACCGAACCCGGGTCTCTCAGGACCGCAGGCCGACGTTCTAACCGCTGAACCGAACCGGCTAGGGCTCATGTTAAAATTTTTGCAACTACTCATCTTATAAGTTCAAAATTGCTACTCAAATCCACGATCTAAAGTCTGCACTCTGGAAATACGTTTTTGGATGGTGACAACAGGGAATGAAAGAAAGAATGTTATCAAACATAAATACAGCTACGTAAATTAGAAAATAGTCCCTTTTCTTGGCTTTATATGTAGATTTCTGCCTTCATACGTTTTATCAAAATTCATAGAGAACAGCTGGGTAACTGGAACATACAGAAAGACTCTGAAAAGAAATTAGTTGGAGCTAGGACTTATCACTGACCAAGATGATAGGCAATTTATTCAAAACATCCATTAACTGGAAAGCATTTCTTTTATTCACTCTTTCTCTCCTTTCCTTTCTATAGTTTTAACAGATATTGTGGTCTTTTATCCCTAAGTTCCATTATGTCAAAAGAAAAAAGTGTTAACATTTCACTTCAAGAAATATTATAAATACTTTAAGGCAGTAAAGATAAATTAGTGCGCCTCAGCAAACTGCATTCATGCTGAAATTTTAGTCTTCTTAACAGGTGATGGCCAAAATCCAAACTGTAGAATAATACTCAGAACTTTGAGTTCAATTTAGATATTATCAATGTCGTCTCTCTCATCTCCAGTATCATCAAACTAGATTTCATTTTAATCTCCAGGACCAAATGTATCTGTTTCATTGATTTTAGCATCTTTTGGAAGCTTGCTGTATGCCTTCAGACTTATAGCTTTATATGCATTGTACTTAAAAAGTATATCAGCTTTATTATCCTGATAGTCTAGCAGACTAACCATTGTAATGTCTGAGGTATTTATCCAAACCTTTCTTCGCAATTTTCCTCTAATATGACATAACCTCTTTACACCATAAAAGCACATTGCTTCTAATGGTCCACTTACCAACATTTTGATTACCTGAGCATACTCTTGTCCATCCTCTTTAAAGACCAATCCTCTTTTATTTCAGATTCATTCTCATCCTTACCTCTATGCCTGCGTTTTACAACTCCTTTACCTTTAGTCTTGGGCATGGCAGTACCAGCTGCTTCCTGGCGTTGCCAACTCTTATCCAGTGGTGCCTAAGCAGGGGCGACACCTCCAAGGGACCTAGGAGACTTACTTAACAGTTGCTGATCTTCTGTGCAGGGACACTATTGCAGCTGAGTTCTAGGGAGCTCTGTAGGCATCAACGCTCCTGGATAAGCAAATGTCCGATACTTTATAGTTTGAGTTATAGTCCAGTATTATAATTTACTTTGACATTGGGACCTCTTTTGGGTTGGCTCCTGTGTCTTTTTGATGTGCCCCGCCCTTTTCCTTATATTCTGGCACTGCAAGAAGCTCTGGGCTCAGCTTGTATATTCCCTGCCCCAGCCCTAGAATCAGCCATTTCTCCAAGGAGCCCTGTTTCCTCTTACTGGAGAATGGTATTGAAAACCAAGATCTGGGTCTGGGGGCATATCTCCAATTTTAGTAGTTAATGTCAACAGTTCTAAAGTGTTTTTGCCTATTTATATTTCAACTCTATTTGTCCAGTTTTCAATAAACATTTTTGCTGGTTTTGTTTTAACTTTTGGGTTTGGATTCTTATGGACAAGAGGTTTTAATTTCAACATAGTTAATATATCTCCTAATATTCATCCTGATTCTTGATCATTTCTCTTATTGTGCCCATCACACCTCTCCTAAGGTGTGATGAATGTCCTCTGCTATTTTTTCCTCTCTGGTTTGAAGTATTTACTATTTACTGACAGTATATCTGAGATTTATTCTGTGAGAATACCAATTAATTTTTATTTAGTTATTTATTAAGTTTATCCTTATTGTTGAAAGTATCACAGATGTCCTTCCTTTTCCCCTCCATTGACCCTTTCCTCCCCACTTCAGCTCCCTGCCCCCTGCCTTCACCACTGTTAATCTGTGTTCATTGGTTATGCATACATGCATATCAGTTCTTTGGCTTATCTCTTTCCTCCCTTCCATCCCCCTTCCCTCTGAGGTTTGTCAGTCTGTTCCCTACTTCCATGTCTCTGGATCTATTTTGATGGTCAGCTTATTTTGTTCATTATATTCCACAATTAAGTGAGATCATGTGATATTTGTCTTTCTCTGACTAGCTGATTTTACTTAGCATAATACTCTCCAGGTCCTTCCATGTCCTCTCAAAGGTAAGAGGTCTTTCTTTCTAACAGCTGCATAATATTCCATTGTGTAAATGTACCACAGCTTTTTTATCCACTTATCTCCTGATGGACACTTGGGCAGTTTTTGGATCTTAGCTATTGTAAATAGTGCTGCTATAAACATAGGGGTGCATAAATTCTTTCTGATTGGTGTTTCAGACTTCTTAGGATATATTCCTAGAAGTTGGATCACTGGGTCAAATGGCAGTTCCATTTTTAATTTTTTGAGGAAACACCATAGTGGCTGCAGTAGTCTGCATTCCCACACGCAGTGTACTAGAGTCCCCTTTTCTCCACACCCTCGCCAGAATTTGTTGTTTGATGATTTGTTGATGGCAACCACTCTGGCAGGTGTAAGATGATACTTCACAGTTATTTTAATTTGCAACACTCTGATGATTAGTGACGCTGAGTATTTTTTCATATGTCTCTTGGCCATTTGCATGTCCTATTTGGAGATGTGTCTATTCAGTTCCTCTTAAGTGTAAGTCGTGAAACCATAAAAATCCTAGAAGAAAATATAAACAGCAAATTGCACACATGACACATAGCAGAATTTTCACCGATACATTGCCTAGGGCAAGAGAAACAAAGGAAAAAAATCAATAAATGGCACTACATCAAACTAAAAAGCTTCTGCACAGCAAAAGAAATGAGCATCACAATGAAAAGGGAACCCAGTCTTTGGAAGAACATTGGTTCTTTGATACATTGAGCCAATGACACATTGGATAAGGGGTTAATATCCAAAATTTGTAAAGTACTCATACAACTCAACAAAAGGAAGACAAGCAATCCAATTAAAGCAATCCAATTAAAACATGGGCTTTAACTTTGAACTTATCCAGGATAATTCTGATGGGGAATGGAAGTGAAAGGAGCTTGTGAGCTGGTAACACAGACACTCAGTGACTGCATATGGGTTCATGACCAGAGTTGACAGGACAAGAAGAGGTAGATAGTGGCACACTCCAGTTGCATATGCTTCAGGAGTAGTGGTGTACTTGGTTGGGATACAATATCAATGTTTTATAGTCTGAGATACATGTTGGGTGTTGGTGGAGGAAAGTTGGCAATACTTAGAAGGATCCTGTTCATGCACTCAACCAGATTTAATTTATACCATGGTCCTCTGAGGTTGCCTTTGATATCAGCACTTTATAGAGGAGTAAACTGAGGTCCAGAGAGATGAATTGTATTTATTTCTTACAGCTTATACGTGGTGGGACTGGGAGTAATTTTTAGGAAGGTGGGAGAAATATACAGTGGTCTATTTTAGAGGAACGTTTTTATGATAGAAAATGTTTTACAGAGGACATTGGCTCAGCACTGAGCAGAATATAGTGGGCTTCACATTTTTTTGTTGAATTAATCTGTATTTTTATAGGTATTTCATTTTCTAATCTTTTCCATAGGTCCATTTATTTCAATTATTTTTCCCTACTGAAGCCTGAATATTGACCCTTGGAAAAGATGACAGATTCATCATCATCTTCCTTCTTTTCTGATTTTGGGCTGCTACTGTATTTGGAAGAGCTAAACAAAGAGGAATTAAGTAAATTCAAGTTCCACCTAAAGAATGAGACCATGGGCCCCGGGCACTGCCTGATACCGTGGGCTGAAGTGAAGAAAGCCAAGCGGGAGGACCTGGCTAACTTGATGTATAAGCATTATCCAGGAGAGCAGGCCTGGGATGTGGCTCTGAAAATCTTCAGCAAGATGAACCTGAAGGATCTGTGTGAGAGAGCGAAAGCGGAGATCAGCTGTGAGTGATACTAGGGACATATCTGGGGGGAGGGAGAAGGAAGTGCTTCCTGGAGCCTGCTGGGATGATTCTGTGAAAGGGACTTAGAGATTAAACCATTCTGTGGGACACATTCTGATGGTCAAGTACATTGGGAGCTTGTTGGATTATTTGAGAAACACTGAAGAGTCGGGAAAGTTTTGAGTCCTGTCACTAAGGTTGGCTCATTAATTGGGGGGTAATTCATCCATTTGGTAACAATTAGCATAATTAAAGCAATTACCCCATGTAGTGTGCTTTTGCCTAAATTACAAATAAGCTCATATGTTAGGCTAAATTTTAAGGAATCTCAAATATGATTTAAAATTTTTGCTGAGATAAGAGGAATGAGCAAAAAACATTAGGGGACATGAGCCAAGTCTTTATTTTTAGTCATTCTGAAGTATGAAATATTGTAGACATCTAAAATTCCTTACTCATAGTTCTTTGAGCCCCACCATATCACTAGGAGGTCAGTACAGACAAGGAAACTTAGACTAGACCCCTTGCCCTGTTACAGGGTGGGGCATGGCAGGATGTCTCCTGCTTCATTGTTGTTTACATCACATCATTCTTCCTTCAGCTAAACTGGTGTAGTCTGAGGCTCTGTTGGCTCTAGTTTTTCAACCCAGATGGTCATAGAATTGGACCACTGAGGAGAGTTCTGGCCCCTGTTCTAGCCATTACCAAAGCTCTCCTTGTTTTTGGTAATCTCGTGATCCTGTTGGAATTTGTTTTAGCGGCAGCCCAGACGATGGCACCAGAGGACACCAGGGCTGGAGAGGCACAAGGTGACCAGGAGGCCATGCTGGGTAAGTAGACGGGTTTTTGTCAGAATTGGGAGGAGTTTGGGCTTTTGAAGCATGATGGGGTTTATCTGCCACGACACTTTTGTTCAGTTCTTGTTAACTTCTAATATCCTACCTGTTCACTGACGATCACTCAAAAAGAGTTAACAAAACTGGCTCTTTGGCCAAAGAGTCAGGGCCATGTTGATTAAGAGCCTCAAGAGAATGGTGTTTGAGAATACCCAATCAAAGATGAAAGTCTAATGAACAAAGATATATTCATGTCTATAGTTTATGGACTAAAGAGTCTCCGAGTTGGAAGAGACTATTTGTCTTATCATATCTCTTCCCTTCCTTTAGAAGTGATGTGATAATTGAATTCCGAAGGTGGTGATTGAGTAGTCCATATAAAATGTAATTTCTAGAACCAGGACTTTTCAGTCTTAGTTCAATCCCATTTCCATTCCCCCTACTTTGTTTTGAACTCTATGTAGTTGAATTCTAGTTTATATAAATGAATGACAGTACAAAGAAAACTGGAGCAGGTGAAAAAGCTTTATTCATAACTCAGCTATGCTGGTTTTTAACAGGCCACAGAGTTTCATTCAAGAAGTAGTTGAGCCCTGGCCAGTTTGGCTCAGCGGTTGAGCATCGGCCTGCGGGCCACAGAGTCCCAGGTTCAGTTCCTGCTAGGGGCACATACCACAAAAAAAAGAAGTAGTTGAGGCCCTGGCCGGGAAGCTCATTTGGATAGAGTGTCATCCAGATATGCCAAGGTTTCAGGTTCAATCTCCATTTAGGACACATACAAGAAGCAACCAATGAATGCATGAATAAGTGGAACAACAAATCAATGTTTCTCTCTCTCTCCCTTCCTCTGTCTCTAAAAAAAAAAATCAGTAAATTTTTTTAAAGAAATAATTGAGAACCTACTTTATTCCAAGGACTAATAAATAAAAATGTGCTTATTGCATTAAATGATCTTGAAGACCTTAATTTTCAATTCAATATAAGGACCTTTATTTTTGTGGTATAAATTTAAGAAACCAGGGTTCTGTCGCCATAGAAATTTACTGTCGGAAAATTTGGAAGATGGATAAAAGTAAATGAAGTAAAAATCATCTTTATAATCTCAATTTTTTAAAAGTACTGCACTGTACTAGATAGTATACCATAAAAAGAAAGAGTGCCTACATTCTAATACCATAACTTCTCTTGGAGGAGAATTAAGCATAATTCAGTGGGATATGAACTATGTTAGATGTTTATGCTGAATGCCCTACTAGAACAGAGAAAAGAATTACAGTTGTGTATCCAAAGGGGATTGGTTCCAGGACCCCCTGTGGATATCAAAATCCATGGATGCCCAAGTCACTTACATAAAATGGGATAGAACAGTGCATGCAGTCAGCACACCTCATCCACAGGGTTCCAACTGCAGAGCAAAAATAGTATTTTCCATCTGCATTTGGTTGACTCTGTGGATGCAAAACCTTGGGATATGGAAGGCCAACTGTATATTTATTGAAAAAAATCCATGTACAAGTAGACCTGCACCATTCAAACCTGTGTTGTTCAATGGTCTATTGTTTTTACTTAAAAAACTTAAATAATTGCAGCTTATGATATGTGCTATGAATGAAAAATATACTGTGTTTTTAGAATATGTGAGAGAACTGTTCTAGCACTGGGGTTCAGAGAAGGCTTTCCTCCTGAGATAGTGACATTTAATTGAGATCTAAAGATGGAATCGGGCTTAACTAAGTAGGATGAAACTATATTTTCCTTCTACTTGGACATTTGGGAATTTTTTTCTTCTTTTTGTATAATTTTATTAACTAGTATCATCCCAATAAATTCAATTAAAAATAAATTAAATAAAATGAAAAAAGTTATTTAGGCTATGTTTCAATGTTCACTTGTATTAATGTTTTACCTGTATGAAGTGAATTATTTTGATCTGTAGCTTCAGATCTGTCTTCAGGTCCTCTCTGGCTATTAGTGTTAATTGTTGCCTATGTTTCTTTTTTAAAAATTGATTTCTCGGAGAGAAAGAGAGAGGGCAAGAGAGAGATAAATATCAATGTGAGAGCGAAACATCAATGGGTTGCCTCCTGCATGCACCCTACCAGGGCATCCAGCCCACAAACCCAGATATGTGCCCTTACCCCGAATCAAACTAGCAACCTTCCTGGGCACAGGACAATGCCCAACCAACTGAGCCACACCTGCCAGGGAGCCTGTGTTTCTTTTTAATCTGGACATAACTCTGTCTTACACATATATCATCTTTTTTCTTTTTCTTTTTTAATTTTTTGTTAATCCTCATCCAAGGATATTTTTCCATTGATTTTTAGATAGAGTGGAAGGGAGGGAAGGAGAGAGAAAGAGGGGGAGGGGTGGAGAGACTTCAATGTGAGAGAGATACATTGATTGGTTGCCTCCTGCAGACCCGACTGGGGCCAGGGATCCAACCTGCAACCGAGGTACATGCCCTTGCCTGAGAATCAAACCCTCACCCCTTGGTCCACAGGACAGTGCTCTCTAATCATTGAGCCAAACCAGCCAGGGCTGTATCATCCTTTTTTCTCTGTGTAGGAAAAATACAAAGAGAAAATATTTTTGGAATGGACTTAATTTTTATTTTCTATCACAAATTAATTTTTCTGCATTGCCAGTTCTGTTTTTTCCATTTCTGATGTCTGTTTTAAATCTACAGGAATACTTTTGTTTTGTTTACATTTTTTTTCTTACCTACACCAGCTGCTCTTTTATTTCAGCCTATACCATTTCCTGTTCCTAAGTCCACGTCCAGGATTCTTAACATTGCAAACCATAGAATTTGTCTTGATCACGTATGTCTTTGTTTTGTTCCTGCTCTATTCTGACTTAGGTGACAGAACAGAATACAGACGTCAAATACGGGATAAGTTTTGCCTCACGCAGGATACGAAGTGTGTATTTGGAGAACCTAAAAATTTCTGTCATGAAATTGCTGAGGAAGGTAGAGAGCTGCTGGAACATTTGTTTGACGTGGATGTCAGTACCGGCAAGCAGCCACGGACAGTGGTGCTGCAGGGTGCAGCTGGAGTTGGGAAAACCACCTTGGTGAGAAAGGCAATGTTAGATTGGGCCCAGGGCAATCTCTATCAGCAGAAATTTACCTATGTTTTCTATCTCAATGCGAGAGAAATTAACCAGTGGAAAGAAAGAAACTTTGTTGAAGTGATATCAAAGGACTGGCCCAGCACAGAGGGCCCCATTGAAAGGATTCTGTCCCAGCCAAATAATCTCCTTTTTATTATTGACAGTTTTGATGAGTTGAACTTTGCCTTTGAGGAACCTGAGTTTGCATTGTGTGAGGACTGGACCCAGGTACACCCAGTGTCCTTCCTCATGAGTAGTTTGCTGAGGAAAGTGATGCTCCCTGAGTCATCCTTATTAGTGACAACGAGGCTCACAACTTGCACGAAACTGAAGTCCTTGTTGAAGGACCAGCGTTCGGTAGAGCTGCTAGGTATGTCTGAGGATGCAAGAGAGGAGTATGTTTACCAGTTTTTTGAAGACAAGAAGTGGGCCTTGCAAGTACTGAGTTTACTAAGAAACAATGAGATGCTTTTTAGCATGTGCAAAGTCCCTCTAGTGTGCCAGGTCATTTGCACTTGTCTGGAGCAGCAGATGGGGAAGGGTGTTGATGTCACATTGACCTGCAAAACCACCACTGCTCTGTTTACCTACTATCTCTCTAGCTTGTTCACACAGGTAGATGGAAGCTGTCCTAGTCTACCCAACCAAATCCAGCTGAGGAGACTGTGCCACTTGGCTGCCAGAGCAGTATGGACTATGACACATGTGTTTTACAGGGGAAACCTCCGAAAGCATGAGTTAACTAAATCTGATGTCTCAGTTTTCCTGGACATGAATATTCTTCAGAAGGACACCAATTATGAAAACTGCTATGAGTTCACCCACCTACACATTCAGGAGTTTTTTGCAGCTATGTTCTATGTGTTGGAAGACGACAGCCCGGAACCCAAGGACCATTCCTCTGAGCCTTTTGCAGACTTGAAGCTGCTACTTGAAAGCACCAATTATAAAGACCCTCATTTGATGCAGATGAAATGCTTTTTGTTTGGCTTTTTGAATGAAGATCGAGTAAAACAACTGGAGGAAACTCTTAACTGTAAAATGTCACTGGAGATAAAAGGGCAGATACTTCAAGAGATGGAAATATTAGGAAACAGTGACTATTTTTCATCACAGCTGGGATATCTGGAGTTGTTTCACTGTCTGTATGAGACTCAAGATGAAGCATTTATAAGCCAGGCAATGAGATATTTCCAAAAGGTTGTCATTAACATTTGTGGGAAAATCCATTTGATTGTGTCTTCATTCTGCCTTAAGCATTGCCGGTGTTTACACACCATGAAACTGTCCGTAACTATGGTATTTGAGAAGATGTTCGACTCAAGCCTCCCAGTTGAAACTTGGTAAGGGTGGTAGCGTTTACTGAGAAATGCCCTGTGGGGGGAGTGAAGGAAGTAGATTTTGTCAGGGGGAGGGAAGGAGTTGTTTAGTTGAGGTCCCAGAGTCAGAATAACATTTCAGAGTTGTCCCACCTTCAGAAAAGGAGGCCAGGCACTGGCCAATCACGGCTACTGGTAAGGCATGGGCAAAAACTTGCCTGAAGTGGCTGTCTTGGCTTGAGGATAATCCCAAGAGAGGGACTTGGCTGAGAGCTGTCAGCTGTGAACACTCCCAACCGTTAGGGAACAAATGCCTCAGTCCTGAAGAAAGGATGTGGCATAGCACAAGCTTACATCCACTGACCTACTTGTATTTACCTTGTAAAAACTATACCTTCCAGGAATTTCATGCCAGACTGAGTATATGTAGGTCATCTCTCTGGGCTATGTTCCACTGGACTTGACTGACCTAGCTCACTTTCCCTATTGCCTAGACAAAGTCTGCCTTTGTATGAAAGGTCTCAGCCATTTAACACCTGACTGGAGACAGTCAGATGTAGGTAAGAAACAGTAGGTGCCAAAGGAGTGTTTTGAAAGAATAAATGAACAGTCAGCATTTTATGCTTATTATTATAGCCTCTCCCCTTCCTCAAGTTGCCTTTCTGACTCTACCCATCCAAAAGTCTGGGAAAAGAATTGAACTGTGGAATTAGTTCTAGATTTAACTAAAATTAATTGAGGGCTTACTGTGTGACATATATAGAGCACACGGGACATTGAACATATCCAATTTAAGGCTGGTCAAAACCATATTTCAGTTTATTTTTAAGATTACAAAACAGATTCAGGAAAGTTCACCTAGAAAGTAAGTGTATAGTCGTTCATTTAAGCACACATCAAATAATAGCTAACATTTGCTTCACACATACCTGATAGACTTCCAAGTCCCAACTCATTTAGTCTCCTAAAAATCCTAGGTAGATGCTCCTATTTATTTTCATTTTACTTATTAAAAAAAAAAAAAAAAAAAAAAAAGCGGAGGTACCAAGAAGGTGTGTAACTTGAAAGAGGTCATACATCTGATTATAAATCCTTGGTTTTCCAACTTTACCCAAGCTGTCTCATTGCTGTTACATAATTGCAGCATTCCTCCTATAAGGATACATTTCATTCCTCTGAACTGTGGGAGTAGGAATTGTAGGCTGGAATGCTGTGACCCTCACTCACTCTCCTTAGGAAGTTGTAAGTAATCTCTAGTTTTCTTGATTCTGATTTCATAGTTCTATCTAAAGAAGACGTGACCAAACCCAGTTTTCGTGCTGCCTTCTTCTTACTTCTGTTGTAGTGTCATCCACTACTAGAGTTGGCCATGTTGTTAAAATAAACTCTGAAAACCCAGTGTTTTAAAGAGGACATTATGGGTGACCTCAGTCTCTTCTACAACCTAACTACATTATGAACTTAAGAGTAGGATTTCTATCTTGTTCACCATTTTATCCATAACATTTGTACATAGTAAGCACTTGAATGTTTGAATGAATAATATATTGCCTTGTTTTCTCAAATTTTAGACTTCAGGGGATGTAGAGGCCACCATTCTGCAATGTCATTCATTCCAGTTTAAGTAAGGCATCAGGGGAACCATTGTTTATTGAATAGTGACAGGGACCAGGATCTGCTACTCCAAAGTGTGCCACTTTTACATAAGAATCTTTTTGAGCTGAAGGCATTTGAGTTCCTGAAATCCCTCATCTGCCTAAAAGCAGAGCTTCTCCAAAGTACTCAACTGTCATAAACTCCTCCCAGGAACAGCTCTTATCTCTAATTTTACCGAGCCCCAGCCAGGGAACCTAGGAGGGCAGAGTGAAAAGGATATATATGTTTTCCTCTCCTACGGTACCTATTATGCATAAGGTAACATACTGGACTTATATATATTTTAATATAAATAGTTACTAATTGGTAGGATCATTTATAACATGAAACATTTGCTAAGCATTTTCTATAGTTTGTCTTACTGAATCTTCACAGTAATCCTAAGAAATAAATACTATGATTTTCATTTTTTAAGATGAAGAAGGTGAGGCTTACATAGGTTAGTAATGTGGACAATCTCCCAGTTTTGTGAATGGCACAGTTGGGACTCGGGACTATTCCATTCTGAAGCTTATACTTATAATCACTAGATTAGCTTCAGTTCTATTCCTTATTACTTTTATTTTTTTACACTGACTTTTGTGATAGTGTGCCTAATAATTAAATTACATAGCATTTTAAAATTTGCAAAGTGTTTTTGTGTTCCAACTAAAATTGACTATGAAATCTTTACAATCCTGTGCGGGGAAATGGCATTTCCATTTTATAAGTGAAGAAAACTCTGAGCTCATAGAATTAGTGGGACTTGCTTAAAGTAATATAGCTAGTAAATAGTAGGACTGGGGCTCAAACCTGTGGTTCCCTAATGTCTACCTACTGTTCCTAATCTTACTCTTTGTGGTCATATATTATTTGTCTTCTTGATATTGGCTCTTCAGGTATTTGAAGACTTTCTCTTGTCCTTCCTGAATGTCTTTCTCCCAAGTGAAGCCTCTCTCATTTTTATTTTGTGTGTTGGAGGTGGAGAAGCTATTGGGCAAACAAAGCCCCTGGAGTGCCTAGGGGAGGACTTCCTGGTGGACTGCCTAGACCAGACCTGCACTGGGTGCTCTCAATATTTCCAGAGTCCACTTAATTTTACCCACTACCATCTTGTGAGAGTTTCCGGGACTGAAATAGGTTCATTGGTCTTTTCTTTTCCCAACTTTTTAGGCAAAGGGATGCCTATCACTGCTGGCAAGATCTCTGTTCTGTGCTTCATACAAATGAACACTTGAGAGACTTGGACCTGTGTCATAGCAGCCTGGATGAATTGGGAATGAAGACTTTCTTTCAGGAACTGAGGCACCCAAACTGTAAACTACAAAAGCTATTGTAAGTCTGTCCTGAGAAATTGAAGAGTTGTTCCGATTTCTTTCTTTGTCCCGCCTCCCATTCCTACCTATCAGGGGAGACCAACAGTGTAAAATACTCACGAACAGTGGAAACCTCTGGGAATGTGGAAGCATAACTAACCTGTTCTGGGGAAGATTACACAGAGCATAGTAGCTGTTGACGGGTTTGGGGGGCTTGATTAGGAATTTTCTAGATGAGGAAGAACACAGAGGTAAGACATTCTAGGCAGGTCAACAAGCATTTTCAAAGATAAGTTCTGGAGCATACTATTTTCTCTCTTTAATTTTTTTTATTGAGGAATAATTTATGTTCAATAAAATGCATAGATATTAAGTATCAGGGGAGGAAGAGAGAAACCAAAGAACTTATATGCATATATGCATAACCAATAGACACAACGGTGTGAAGAAGGCAGGAGGGGGGTGGGAGTGGGGAGAAAGGGGTCAAGAGGGGAAAAAAGAAGGGACATTTGTTACTTTTTTACATTTGCTTGTGTAATGTTTCCCTCTTGTCCATGGGCTCTCCTAGGAGCTGGAGCTGATCCTGTTGTCTTCTGTGTTCAGTGCCCATCAATGCATACAAGGCCTAATTGGTGCTCAGTAGTATATGCAGAGTGCTGGACAAATGATAGATACTTGCTTCCATTAGCACTGAAGATGATTGGTGGTGTTTTTTTTAAAACTTATCTTTATTGTTGAATGTATTACAAACGTCCCTTCTTTTTTCCCTCCTTGACCCCCTTCTCCCCACTCCCACCCACCTCCTGCCTTCCTCACACCATTGTCTGTGTCTTTTGGTTATGCATATATGCATATAAATTCTTTGGTTTGTCAGTCTAACAACCAATTTGTATTCTTAATCCCTTCATCTTTTTCATCCAACCCTCCTCCCATCTGGCAACCAACAAAAAGTTCTCTGTATTTATGAGTTTGTTTCAGTTCTGCTTGTTCATTTTGTTTGTAGATTCAATTTTTGATAGTTTCATATTTAGTGCCATTTTATTGTTCATATTTTTTCTTCTTCTTCAAGAAGACCTGTCAACAATTCATATAATACTAGTTTAGTGGTGGTGAACTTCTTTAGCTTTTTCTTGTCTGGGAAACTCTTTATATGGCCATCGGTTCTAATGATAGTTTTGCAGGATAGAGTAATATTGGCTGTAGGTTATTTCTTTTCTTTCTTTTTTTAAAAAAATTATTTTTATTAATTTGTTTTTGTTACAGATGTTTCTCCTTTTTCCCCTTTTGACACCCTCCTCCTCATTCCCCCACCCCTACCCCATCCCCAGCTTTTTCAAATAGTTTTTCAATTTCTTGTCCTCTCTCTTTCTCCTTCTGGCACTTCCATGATGCAAATGCTGGTATGCTTGAAGGTGTCCCACAGGCTCCTTATACTATCCTCATTTTTTTGGATTCTTTTTCTTTTTACTGTTCTGATTGGGTGTGGTTTGCTTCTTGGCTTTACCTACTCTACTATTGATTCCCTGTAAATTATTCCTTTTTTTTTAATCCTCACTTGAGGACATTTTTGCATTTATCTTCAGATAGAGCAGGAGGGAGAGACGGGGGAAGAGGAAGAGAGAAACATTGATGTGAGAGAGACACATTGGCTGGTTGCCACCCACATGACCCCAACCAGGGCCAGGGGCAAACTGTAACCGAGGTACGTACACTTAGTGGTAGCTGAAACTGGTCTGTGGGCCAGTGCTCTAACCACTGAGCAAAACCAGCCAGGGCTCCCTGTAAATTTTTCTTTATTTTAGTCAGTGCATCGTTCATTTCTGACTGGTTTTTTATTATGCTCATGAGGTCCTCACTAAGTTCCTTGACGTTCTCATGAAGTTTCTTGACATTCTCACTAAGTTCATTGAACATCCTTATAAGCAGTGCTTTGAACTCTGCATCTGTTAATTGCTTATATCCATTTCGTTTTGTTCTTTTCTTGGAGTTTTGTTCTGTTCTTTCATTCGGGATGTTTCTTTGTCTCCTCATTTTGGCTGCCTCCCTGTTTTGTTTCTATGTATTAGGTAGAGTTGCTATGTGTCCTAGGCTTCCTAGGGTGGCCTGTAATAGTAGGTGTCCTATAGGGTCCAGTGGCACAGCCTCCCTGGTCACCCAACTAGGCCCTGAAGTTGCACCCCTTGTGTGGACTTTATACTCTTTTGTTGTAATTGAGTCTTGATAGCTGTTGGCACATAAATGGGAGGGTTTTACTCAGGCTGATCAGCTGCAAGGACTGGCTGTGCCCACTGACCACCGACCTCTGACTGCCTTGGATGATCAGCTATGCAGGGGCCCACCACACAGAGCAAGACTCACTTCAGCAGGGCTCTGGTACCCACTGAGTCCATTCCTTGAGTGTGTCACTTGTGGAAGTGGTTGGGTGGTGGTATTTTGATGTGGTCTGAAGCTGTCCACTGGGTGTGCTGGCTCTGGGGCCAGGTCAGCCACTGCCTGTGTTCTACCCGGGGCCACCAGGCATAAGCTACAAATTGATCTGCTGATGGCTACTTCTTGTGCTGGGCCTGGAGGTGCCCAGGCAAAGCCAAGCTGTGAACCAAGGCTGACTGCTTCTAGTGCCAGGCCTGGGGCAACTTAGAGATATGGGGCTCACTGTGGCCATATGCTGCTTGTTTGAGAGAATTTAGGAAAATCTGAAGCAGGAGCCAAAACAAGCCAAACCTGTGGTAAAGCCACTGGAAACAGTGTGGGTGGGCCCAAAAGTTGGATGGACAAGGTCTCAGGGAATTACCAGGGTGGGGCAAACAGTGTGAGCCAGGTTGCTGGAGTCCCAGATATGGTGGTTGTCTGCTGGCTTTGTGCGGGAAGGGCTCACCAAAGGAACAAAGGCCACCATCAACATGTCTGTCTGGGACAACGCTGCCTCTCCTCACGCCAATACCAAACAACTCAGTTCTTCCCCATATGTCTCTGGTGCCTTTCAAGCTGCCTCCCCTATGCGCTGGAGCTCAGAGGGAGTGGGTTGAAGTAAGTCCCTTTGCAGGCCCTTTAAGAAGAACTGCCTGGGGCTCCTGAAGCCACAGCCTCCCTCAGCCTCAGATCCTGCTGGTTTTCCCAGCCAGAAGTCATGGGAACTTCTCTTCCTGGCACTAGAGCCCTGAGCTGGGAGCCTGATGTGGGATGGGACCCGTCACTTCTCAGGAAGGACCTTCCCAGCTGAGGTGTCTTCCTGATTTTTTTATCCGCCACACGTGGGTGTGGGATCAGCCTGTCCATGTCTCCGCCCCTCCTACCAGTCTTGATGTGCTGCTTCTTTAATTTCGTAGTGTAGGACTTCTATTCAGCTCCAATTCAGGTGGTTCTGAAGGATGTTTGTTCTGTAGGTTAGTTATAATTTTGATGTGGTTGTGGGAGGAGGTGAGTACCGCGTCTACCTACGCTGCCATCTCAACCAGAAGTCGAGGTTGTTTTGAGGGTGGAGGGTGGGCTTCATTTTAAATATTTCCCTGGCTTAGAACCTCAGTGTTTTCAGTGAGATCTGACTTTAGATTTCAGGTAACTAGATTAGGTCTGGATTTGCATATTGATATGGTAGGAAACTGTATATACGTTATGATGAAGGGGTTCTTGGAACTTACCCCCAAATATCTTCCCACATTGTCCCTTTACTGAATGTCACCAATCTAAATTTCAATGCTTGCTAATGCCATCTTTTGGGTTGGATAGTTTCTTTTAGAATTCAGAAGTCCCTGGAATGGGACTAGGGTGACATCATGAAGGCAGCTCTTAGCCTTTCCCTGCTTGGTGTGGCTCTACTTACCCAAGTCCCTGTTCCCTAATAAGTGAGACTGTACTTTCAGTTTTATGTTTAGTGAGTGCATTAGGTACTTTTCTGGGATGATGATGCTTAGCGCTCAAAATGGCTAAAAGCTTTATTTTCTCATGCTTGGCTGGGAGGGGTGTGAGGATGAAGGGTAAACAGTGAGCAAAGGGAGGGAGGAGAGGTGATATTATGAAGAGGGGGTTTGAACAGTTAATGAGCAGTGTGATCATGCCTGGCATTTGGGGGCTTGGAGAGGCTCTATGGAAGAATTTGACATAACTAATAGGGACTGAGTTAGGAAACAGGAAATCGGAAGAAAAATAGGCGATATAACTTCCTTCATATATTGCTTTGGGCCACCCATGAGATGATAGAGCATATTCGGCAATAATGCTTTGCTGATGATGCATGTTAGAACAGTTGATATTAACAGTGAACTCACCTCGGGTTATTTAAAAGGTTAAATATTGTGAATTAATTTTGTAATTGCAGTATTTGGACTAGTGCCAATAATTTCTTTTTAATCCTCACCCGAGGATATTTTCCCATTTATTTTCAGACAGAGTGGGAAGGAGGGAGGAGGGGGGGGGGAGAGAGAGAGAGAGAGAGAGAGAGAGAAAGAGAGAGAAAGAAAGAAAGAAAACATTATGTGAGAGGGACACACTGACTGGTAGCCTCCTCACAACCCAACCAGGGCTGGGGATGAACCACAACCGAGGTACATGCCCTTGACTAAAATTGAACCCACAACTCATTGGTCCTTGAGCTGACGCTCTAACCACGGACCCAAACCGGCCAGGGCGGTCCCAATAATTTTTGATAGTCATTCATGGGGTTAAGAGTTCAAAAACTTTTCTTCTGCTTTTCCTGATGTTACTACCTTCTTTTCTTTCAAGGTCAAAAAAAGTTGAGAGTATCATTTGTCAGGATATCATGAACATCCACATTGTAAGCCAGTTGTTTTTCTAAGCAACATCTAAAAATTGGATTTATGACCTGACCTGGACTACAAGAAACCCAGAGGAGAATAAGAGATGGCAGGAATATTTAGATAATGTCTGAGTTAGGTTTGAAAAGACAAAAATGATGATTTTGTAATCCCTTCTGCATATTTTTCGTCTGCAGGTTGAGGTTTCTGTCTTTTCCTGATGAGTGTCAGAATATGGCTGGTTGTTTGACTCACAGCCAGAATCTGCTGCACCTCGACCTGAAAGGCAGCAATATAGGGGACAATGGAGTGAAGTCGTTATGTGAGGCCTTGAGACATCCAGACTGTAAACTACAGAATCTGAGGTAAGTCGTGATGTTTTGTATTACAACTTAGACTTTTGTCTGACCAGATAGAGCCTTCCAGCCTGAACTTGCTGTTCATGGGGCTAGCGTAAATCTACTTCCGTGGTATGGAATAGTGGGGATCAGTAGATTGAGGCTGATTTCCTGCAGGTAGGACTTCTGACTCCTCCCATTGCCCCACTGAAGGCCCCCTCATTGTACAGTTCTCTGTGTATCCAGCTCCTAAATGTGGGGGGGAAGAAAAAAGAACCAGAATTCATAAAGATTTAAGGTGGTGTTGTTTTTTCATATTTAAATGCAGGAATGTGTGTATTCATTGTATCTTTGGATACTCAGAAAAGAAAGCACTAATGGTAACTGAGGGCAGTGCTGGGCAGGCTCAGTCTTACTTAATTTTGTTGTTAATCCTCACCTGAGATTTTTTTTCCATTTCTCTTTTAGAGAGAGTGGAAAGGAGGGAGGGAGGAAGGGAGGGAGAGGGAGAGAGAAACATTGATGTGAGAGAGACACATGGCTTGGTTGCCTCCCACACACGCCCCAACTAGGGCCACAAATCGAACCTGCAACCCAGGTATGTGCCCTTGACTGGGAATCGAGCCTGCAACCCTTCCTTGCGTGGGCTGACGCTCTAACTGCTGAACCGCACCAGCCAGGGCACTTTTACTTGATTTTTGATAGTGAATCCCCCTCACCTTATAATACAACTCGGCGGCCAGTACAGAACACTGGGGAAGAGCAGTGTGGCAGCTGTGCTCTCCCCGTCACACACCACTGATCCTCGTGGTGGCCTGATCTTCTGTGAACGTGAGAGGTGTAGCAGTCACACTTGGCGGCAGGTTTCAAGAGAGAGCTTAATTTCCAATGAAAGATATTTAATTCCGTTTCTGGCAAATAAAACCCAAAACAAACAAAGGCAAAATAAAAAATCATTGCAGTAAGTTTTACCTTAGAAGTTTTTGTAATCCCTAGACTCAGTTGGGGCTGGGGGTAAGAATGAGCTTTGATATGTGAAAGGTCAAGATAGGTCTGTATTTGTGGGAAGCAAATGATCATTTGTGTGTAGAAAAAAAAAAGGTAGAATTTGAGACAAAACCTTCTTTTTGACAATAGGCACATGAATTCTGTTACCATGGGTTTTTTGTTTTGTTTTGTTTTTAGGTCTCACTAGTTTGTACATTATGAAATTCACTTATAAGCATGTCTGAAAAGTTGTTGGGTATTTCTTGAACAAGTGTTGAGTTTAGATACCAGCAGGCCAGGTTAGGGTATTGGTTTTACCATTTATGAAGTAGTTTTAGGACATTTTGAGGAATTTTCTATACACTGCAGCCTCTGGTCTGGCACTCAAGTGAGGAGTAGGTCATTGGTTCCTCTTTCTAAAAGTAAACCACATTAATGGCAAAAAGCTGTTACGTGGAGGGAAAGGTATTTTCTTACTGTGGAAACTGTGGATCCAAGACCAAAGGCATTGGCACTTAACAGGGCGGCAGGACTTGATAAGATCTCTTTCATCGGTTGAGGTTTTTAAGTCTTGATGTATGCCCAAGTAACTAGGCTTTTTGACAGGAAACATCTCTCTGGGTCAACTAGGAGAGCTCCTTGCACCAGTGAATAGAATGCTTTGGTGGCAGAAGTCATCAGCGCTTTGAAATAATGAAACATTACATTATGTAGGATTGGCTGCTGTCTCATTGTCGGTGACCACTAAGGAGTAACCAGCAGTCCTGTAGATATCCTGTTGTCATGTCATGTGGGAAAATTCCCAGTTTTATGTTTGTTTAGACCTCCTGTTATAAGAGCTGTGGACAGTTGACTGGTCATGTTATACACATGCTTATTTTCTGCCCCTTTAGAGTAATGTTTTCTTTTGGTTACACTTTAATAATGTATCCATAAATGCCATAACATTGGACTCTTTTTCTGTCTAGAAGAGCTCTTTCCAAACACAATGTATGGGATTTCCTTCATTTCCCTGCCTGCCTGCTTGGCTGCTGATATACTGCACTTTAGTATTAGTCTACTTGGATTGCCATAAAAAAATACCACAGAGTAGGTAGCTTAAACAACAGAAATTTATTTCTCACCATTGGGGAGGCAGGAAGTTCAGAATCAGGGTGCAAGCAGGGTTAGTTGGTGAGGCTTCTCTGCTTGGCTTGCAGACAACTGACTTCTCACTGTGTCCTCACATGGCCTTACTTGTGTTTGCCCATTCCTGGTGTGTTGTCCTCTTATGAGGCTGCCAGGCCTATTGAATTAGGGGTTCACTCTTGTGACCTCATTTAACCAAATTACCTCTTTAAAGGCCTTGTCTCCAAATACAGTCACATGGTTAATTAGGCCTTTAACATATGAATTTTGGGGAGCACTGTTTAGTCCATAACACCTTTTGGGGACAAATTGAGGTTTTCAGCCTTAGGCCATGTTCTAGGTCATACACTGAGGTCTAATTCTGTCCCTACCTTGATATGCCCTGATTTTAATGAAAAGAACCAATTCCTGAGGGACTCGGGTTGAGAAGTTCCTGAATAAACAGAATAACCAGAACAACTCCATGTTCCAGGAACACTGCTGCCCCCAGAACTCTTACAAATAGCTGGTTGGTTTCAGGCCCAGCTATGCCCAACGTCTCTGACTATGAGTCTCCAAAAATAGGGACTCTCCTTGTACTTCTTTTCTTCTGCTTCCCTTCTTTAACTTTATTTTTTAGAACTTTCACTTTCTATTAACTTCTTGTTTTCATTCTTAAGGACTGAATTCCTCAGAAAGTGTGGGTTGACTCCCATTTGTAAATTAGCTCTTGGTAGACAGTAGTGGGAGTCAGAGCTTTTGCTCCTGATTTCCTGCCCATCTGTTTCAGAAGTCAAAGAATGAAAGGATGCAACCTTCCTTCAGTCAGTCCACCTTCATCCATGTTGTAGTTAGAGAACGTTGCTCCCAGATTTTAAAAAATGATGGTCATTTAAAACTATTTTTGAATATTTTCATACATATTTTCATAGGGAATTGGGTACGTGGGGGTGGAAAAGACAAACTTCAAACCCTCCCCTTCCTAACTCTCTATCAGAGCCTTGTGATTGAGATAAACAACTCTCATTCTATGTAGGTAAGCTGGACTGTTGTCAAAAAAGATCCCAAAGATCCAGATCCATGTATCCAAATGCTCTGGTTAAGTGAGTGGTGGTTATAAACCTTCTCTGAGGAGGAGTCATTGCTATTTTTCTGTATCGTTTTCCAGCTTGGAATCCTGTGACCTAACTACACTTTGTTGTCAGAATATCTCCAAGGCTCTCATCAGAAGTCAGAGCCTGATATTTCTGAATCTGTCGGCCAATAATCTATTGAATGACGGAGTGGAGCTGTTGTGTGAGGCCCTAAGACATCCGAAGTGTCACCTAGAGAGATTGTCGTGAGTCTTTTTGATTTGTTTTCTGTAGAGTCATTTTGTTCAGTCTTCTCTAGTTATGATCTGAATACCTGGGTCTTGACAAGAATGAGCTCACTTGTCAATTGTGGTTGAGCTCCTCCTCTTCTCGCTTTACTGCCCTTACTCTTTTACTTGATTTTTAGACATCTCTTCATGATTGACCTTGTATTTTCATGTTTTCCAGGCTTCTCTCCTCCCCTCCTATTTTTTGTTTCATTACACTTTGTGCATAGCTGAAATGAATCCATAATTTAAGTACCTTTGACGAGATTGAGTCTAGGGGTTGAGTTGAGGTGTAGGGGTTGTAAGTACCAGCTAATTTCCCTGTGAAGAAGAGAAGCATGAACTTTGGAATTTGACTGATCCCTTTCCATCTGTGCTTCTCCTTCAGCTTAGAAAGCTGTGGCCTCACAGTAGCTGGTTGCGAGGATCTCTCTTTGGCTCTCATCAGCAATAAAAGGCTGACACATTTGTGCTTGGCGGACAACGTCTTGGGAGATGGTGGAGTAAAGCTTATAAGTGATGTCTTGAAACATTCGCAGTGCACTCTACAGAGCCTTGTGTAAGTGTCCACTAATTTTTAGCCCTGCGATATGATATACATTTTGAAATATATTTAAAGCGAAAAGATAATACGAACACATTCTGTCCCTTGCTTGTTTCCTGCCATTGATCTTCATGATAATGAAGATGATGAGGATGACAGTATTAATAATTGCCATTTATTGTGTTCTCACTGTGTGCTGGGCCTTGTGCTAAATTTTTTAACCTGCACAGAAGTATCTGTTTGTGTCAAATTGGCAACCTGAGCTCTAAGTGCCTCATTGTACAGGTGAAGAATATGCGGCTTAGGAAGATTATGCAACTTGCCTAATGCTCACAAGAAAATTATGGGTTCAGGACTGAAGTCCACCTATCCAGCTCCATATCCTGGGCTAAGAACAGATAAATATGTAGGAATACCATTAAACAGAAATGTAACGCTCCATAGTATGGCTGGATCACACTCTGATTATTCTGTTAGTTGCTGTTAGATAATTTCTTAGATCTGAAATTCATGAGCCAAAATTTTAATTTTGTCAGATATGGTTAAATTGCCTCCAGAGATAGATGGTTTATATTTCCTCATCAGTCTAGGGACCTGTATTTTGATATCCTTACTGGGTATCTACAGTGTTTTTTATCAATGTTAGATCATTGAAAATAACTTTAAAAAGGATTTGATGATGAGCATCTTTTCTAATGTTTTTGGCCCTTAATATTCTAGGAATTGTCTCTTCATAGAATCAGTTTTCTTCTGGATACTTTCTTTATGTTATATATTATGGTTACAATTACACTATTACTATTTATGTGTTGTAAATAATTTACCTAGCATATTGCCATATTTCTTATTTTCTTTATTGTCATTTTTAGAATATAGAAGTTTAAAATTTTTGTGAAGTCTAGTTATCTTCCCCTTCGTGGCATCTAGAAGTTTTGTCATAGTGGGAAATACCTTTCTTAAAAAAAAATCCACTTATGTCATCTTCTTCATACTTTTTATGTTTTGATTTTCAACATGTAAATGTTAAAGTATTCCAAATTAGGTTTGTTATAAGGCTTAAACTCATTTTCCCCCCTGTCAGGTTTGTTGTCCATAAATCATTTATGGTGCAATATATCTTTCCCCTACTGATTGGGAATGCCACTTTCATTATGTATAAAAAATACTTACTTTATGATGATTACTCCCATTCTACTCCATATGACTGCTCCTCTGCTCCATGGAGCTACTTCTGCAACAGGAAACTCTATTTATGTACAGTGGAAAGAAATTACCATTTTATTTATGCTAATAAAAATTCTGAAGAACAGTTTGTAGCCCAATTTGGTGCAAACCTGTGTTTCCCAAGTGGAGAGCCAAAGAGCCAATGAGGGAAGGGGCTGTTTGGCCTGAGATGTAGATGGGGACCACACTTGAAATCTCAAAGACATGAATCTCCGGCAGTAGGGCAATGATTCCATCTTTCCCCACATTGTCCTCCCTGTAGGCTGCGACGCTGCCATTTCACTTCAGTTAGCAGTGAACATCTGTCATCGTCTCTCCTAAAAAACAAGAGCCTGACACACCTGGATCTGGGGTCAAACTGGCTACAAGATGATGGAGTAAAGCTTCTGTGTGATGTCTTTCGGCATCCAAGCTGTAATCTTCAGAACCTGGAGTAGGTCTTCTTTGATCTTAGTTTTGTGTAGCTTTAACTACTGTGGGGGCAGGGGAGGTATGGAAAGAAAGGCTGAAAGCTGAGTATCTGTCGGAGAAAAGAATATACAGCTGATTCCCCCTCTCTCATTCTGCCTGAGACTAGCTGGGGAAGTGTGTTCATTAGATTTTCTTAAATGATTCATACAGAAATTACAGTCAACTTTCCTCAGGTAAGGAGGACCAGAGCCATCAGGCTGAATTCTCGACACTTTATTTTTTCCCTTGGTTGTGCCCCAGTGACTCTACTGTGTCCTTTACATTACGTCCATAAGCCGAAATTGTGCTCTACCAGTTTTTCTTACTTAAATTAAGTTTTAAAATTAGGTCAACTTTTAAAGAAACTGGGAAGAGAATCTTTAAAACTATCCTACAGTCCATTTATTCTTTAATAGCAACTGTGTTTATTCTTCTTAATGTTCTTTCTTACTCTGTGAACAGGTATACATATCTGTGCTGATATGTGTGATTGTGATTGCTGTGTAGACATCACTTTGAGGTTTCCTTTCCATGTGATAGTGTTTCAGAAACACATGTAAATACTTACATACAATTATCTTATTGTTTCAATGGCTGCACAATATTTAACATTGAATTATGTAAACATTGTACCCAGAGTGAAGGAAGATACAGGTGTCACTTAGCCGTCTCAGCTCACTTTCCCACTAGGGCCTCCCGTGGGACTGACTAGTAGCCTGGATGAGTCATTAAGGGTCTAACCCCAGCAGTGTTTTCTTTAGAACTATAAATTCAGGATTGTTGGTATACCCCGAGGTGTTTAGCTTGACTGGACTGACTCATGAAAACCAAATTTCCAAATAAGTTTAACAGTTGATTGTCAGATCTGTAAACACTAAAGTGATTGAACTCTTGGGTCCAATAAGCACCTGTCCTTCCTTTAGGAAAAGGTATGTTATAGGTTATAGTGTGATTCTTTGACATTTCCTTGATTATAACTCAATTGGAAAATAAAGTTTTACTTAATGGAAATGATCATTAAATCCAGGGCCTTCATTTCAGCTACAGAGACATAATTCAGGATATTTCTTTAGCCCAATTTCTCGTCTTAGCATTGCTGGTTCTTTTTTAGCTGCCTTTGTAATCTCTTTGGCCATGCCAACGCTCTCAGCCAATTCCTACAAGTATAAGCTAGATGCTGAGGGGACTAAAGGTTATTACTAAGGTGATGCTCTTGTCCTCAAGTAACTTACAAAATGCGGATAGTAGGGTAATAAATGCTGACTCTAATCTGTTCCATATTTTGTTATAAAAGTAAGACAGAAGTTTCAAGGAGCAAGGGATGGGACAGAGGAGGCACGAGTCACTTCTGGCTTGCAATATGAAGAGGATTTTGTTAATGTAGGAATCCCAAGCAGAAGGAAAGAAGAGAGAAAAGGGGAATGAGGGTAGATGTGGAGTATTTGGAAAACAATAGATTGTATGGTTGGAGAATAGGATGGGGACAGAAGAGGGAAAGAGAAGGCTTGAGGCTAGATTTTTTTAAAGCAATACCATATTAAAGTAATTATTTGAAAGACAGACAGACTCCCCACAGCAGGGAGGGGACCCAGATGGGTTGCCTGAGGCCAGATATTAAATGCCCTTGGATGTCCTACAACAGACATGAAAGAAACAATCTTTTTATACGTAGCTTCTTGATTCTTTGGAGATTAACATTTTGAAGGAGATTCTTGGAAAACATTTTTCTATCAATAATATATTAGAAACTGAAAGTATAGACATCAATGGGTTCCTTGGGAAAGCTTATAATATTTTTTTAGTATTGGTAGGAGTGTTTATATCCTTGATTTGGGAAGCTTTATAAAGTCCTGGTTGTAGGAGAAAGCAGTTTTACCCACTGTTATTTTCTGCTTATCAAGAAATCCCATCTGTTTCTACTGCTAATGTTAGACCTTCTTATGTGCACCCTGGATTATAGGATTTGAAAGGGGTCAGAAAAAAAGTCTCAAATAATGGGCATCTCTCCCAGGAATAAACTAATTAAGCCTCACAGCCAAAGGTCTCACTTCTCTTTTGTATTTCTTCCAGACTGATGGGTTGTGTTCTCACTAGTGCATGTTGTCTGGATCTTGCTTCTGCTGTTCTGTACAACACAAATCTGCGGAGCCTGGACCTTGGCAACAATGACTTGCAGGATGATGGAGTCAAAATTCTGTGTGAAGCTTTGAGACATCCAAACTGTAATATTCAGAGGCTCGGGTGAGTTCAATTTTCCATTAGGAAAATGATAACTATTTGGTAGCTGGTATAGCTAAAAGAAATTTGGTATGTGGAGAGAGAATGGAAAATAAATGGGTTAGAAGGGAAGTTACTTTCAGAAATGAGAATCTGAATTTCACATATACGGATCAATGTGGATTGTATATTGTCAGTTTAGAAGCCATATTTCACATTTCTTTACATCATTCTTAGTACCTTGGACAGAGTATGTATTCAGTAAATGGTACTTAAATTAGGTCTTCCACATTCTCCAGATGTCCCACCTGACCTTGTGTTAATTATTCTTATTAAATTGGAGATTTTACTAATCATCTTCTATCTAGAAAAATGCGATTGATGCTATCAAGGAGCTTGCAATCTAATAAAATCCTATTCTATGTTCTGAATACTTATGTTCAATCAGGTATTGTTTAGATTCATATTTTCTTTATAGTCTTGGACTAATATTGGAGAGTACATTTTTACTAATATTGGAGAGAACAACGCAGCATGAATTACTGACTTCTGGGTCAAAAAAGTTGTGTTACGTGTGGGAAGCCCAGACATTATGGTATGTCTCTGCATCTTCCAAGGAAGTGTTGCCTTTTCCTATGTTTCCATTGACTGTATGTTTTTATCACAGCAATGATAATGTTGTAACTGTTGGGTCTGAAATTTAATTTTATCCTACTTATCACCTAATAAATTAGCCTATTTCTGTCTCGTGGATGCTGGCAGCAGATGTAGAATGCTCACAGAGACAGAGGACCTGATTACTCACAGCATAGCCACACGAGCATTAGGCATGTTTCTGTCAGTTTCCCCTGTGCCCCAAGTCCCACAGGGTCACTGTGGAGGGCCCAGATGGATGCCTGTGCATGCAGTAGGTTGCATCCCAAGAGAGGAACATTGAGTGTGTAGCCTCACCTTTTATAGCAAGCAGTGAGCAAGCCTGCTCCTGGTCCTGGAAGGGGGAGACATTACCTCATCCCTCGAGGTTGCTCATTGCACACGCATCCTAGGAAACAGCCAGGTAAAGAATTGTCAGGGCTTTGCATTTTTGTCAGCAAAAATGTTGGAGGATGAAAGACCCATAGAAAAATGTCTCTCAAAAATATCTGCTCTTTTTCTACACAATACAGATTTGGCTTCTGGTGTATTTTCACAAGGACATGCCACTCCATTCTCCATTCCCCATTCTGATTAATCTGACCAACAGAGACTGGGACTGAATTTGTTCAGTTTGTGTCATACACCATTTAACTTAAGTCACTATCAGTAGGAATCCAAGCACAGGATGAGGCCAAATTGCAGTATTGATTTCAACTATGGAACTAGGGTCCTGGACTCAGCCAATTGAGTTAGACCCAGGGAGGAACAATAGCTCTGATTTTCCATTACAACTCATAAAAGGGAGTTTAGAATGACCTGCTGATCTTGGTGTCATTGGCAATAAATAAAGGGGGTAAAAGATAGACCACAAGCAGTTCTATCCCCAATAAAGAGACATTCAGTGGGCCCACATGCAAACATACAACATACAGCACTGGTCACTGCAGTGTGGCATTTGTTATGTTTGACTTGAGTCACCATCACATTGATTTGGTTATGCCAGGTGGGTAGTATCACTGAGTAGTTACAGCTTCTTTTTTTTTTGCAATACTTTTGGGTTATTTCTTTTATGATTTAGCGGTACTATGAGTATTTTAATAAATAAATTCTGAAGCACATGCATACACATTTATCTAGAGTAAATCATTAGGAGTAGACTTGTTATATCATGGAGGAATATGTCTTCAAATTTATGGGATATTGTCAAAAGGATTGTACCAATTTACTCTACCACTGCCATAGTGTAAGAGTTCCTCTTGCTCTCAATTTTTGCCAATTTGGTCAGACTTAATTTTTAAAATTTTAGTCAGTCATGTGTGCATTTTGGCATGTGATTGTGTAAGACTGGAATTACTTCTTTTTTGAGCTTTGTAGACATTTCTGGTAAAGCTATATGATCTGGAGTTTTCTTTGTGTGGTTACTTTTTTGACTTATGATTGTGTGTTTTTTTTTAAAAAAATAATTATACATTTATGTAACCTTCTCTTACTGAGTAATCTTGGTAATAGAATTCCTGTGCATTTATCTATTCATCTAAATTTTAAAACTTATTGCCAAGTATCTAATATCTGCTCGATTTCTGAGTCATCTCTAGTGATTTAGATATCCAGTGATGTTTAAGTAATTATTGCTTCTACTTTCTTTTCTTCTACTTTGGTTGAGTTTATTTTACCATTCTTTTTCTAAATTCTTGAGTTGGATGCTTATCGCATAAACATGTCTTCTTTTTCAACACAGACTTAAGGTTATGATTTTCCTTTAACTCACTGCATTAACTTCATCTTACAAGTTTTGATATTATGTGACCTGTTGTCATTAGTTTTGAGTCTTAAATATTTAATTGCCCTTATGATTTTTTTCTTCAATCCATGAATTATTTTAAAGTGTATTTCTTGATTTTCAAACAGAAGAGCAGTTTCTTATTATCTTTTTATACTTGTCCTCAGGCATTGTGGTATTAGGACATGCATTGTTTCATTTCTTTGAAATATGATGACATTTGCTTCATGGCCCAGTATATAGTCAGTTTTTGTATGTGCTCCATAGTGCACTTGAAAAGAATATGAAGAGCTGTTGGTTGCAGTATTTCATACCAGTTAAGATTGTTAATCCTGTTGTTCAAATCATCTATATTTTTAGTGATTTTTTCCAGATAATTTAATTACTGAGAAAGGTGTTAAAATTTTTGTTTGTAATTGTAGATTTGATTCTCATTTTGTAGTTGTCATTTTTTGTTTTCTGTATTTTTAAATTAAATTTATTGGGGTGACTTTGGTGCGCAAAAACCCTATAGGTTTCAAGTATACAACTCAATAAAACATCATCTGCACATGGCATTGTGAATCCATCACCCCAAACAAGGTCTGTTTTGTTTTATTTTATTTATTTATTTAGTCCTCACATGAGGACATTTTTCCATTTTTTTTGTTCAGATAGGGAGGGAGGGAGAGAGAGAGAAACATCAACATGAAAGGGACACACTGAGTGGCTGCCACCCGCACGACCCAACCAGGGCCAGGGACAAACTGCAACTGAGGTACACGCCCTTAGTGGGAACCAAACCTGGGTCTCTCTGGACCGCAGGCCGATGCTCTAACCGCTGAGCAAAACTGGCCAGGGCAAGCAAGGTCTGTTTTAGTCCCCATTCCCCCTCTTCTTTGCCCACCTCCAACTAGCCCCCATCTCCTTTCCCTCTGGCTATCACCACACTGTTGTCTGTGTCTATGTGTCACACATTTATGTTTTTGGCTAATTCCTTCACCTTTTATCCAGTCTTCCAACTCCCCTCCCCTCTGACAGCTATCAGTCTGTTCCATGTATCCATGCCTTCGTTTCTAGTTTGTTCATTGATTCATTTTTGTTATTAGATTCTACATATAAGTGAGATCATATGGTATTTGTCTTTCTCTGACTGGCTTATTTCACTTAGCATAATAATCTCCAGGTACATCCATGCTGTCGCAAAAGGTAAGATTTCCTTCTTTTTTATTTTTTTTATCCTCACCTGAGGAAAATTTTTTTTTTTTTTTTCATTTATCTTCAGAGAGAAAGGAAGGTGGGGGGGGGGGAGAGAGAGAGAGAGAAACATCAACGTGTGAGAGACACATCGAGTGGTTGCCACCTACAAGACCCCAATCAGGGCCGGGGACAAACTGCAATTGAGGTACATGCCCTTAGTGGGAACCGAACTCGGGCCTCTCTGGTCCGTGGGCCGATGCTTCAACTGCTGAGCCAAACCGGCCAGGGCAGATTTCCTTCTTTTTTATGGACACATAGTATTCCATTGTATAAATGTACCACAGCTTTTTTGACAGTTATTAGTGACTAAAAATTAAGAATGATTATTTCCTGATGAATTCTTGATAATCTTTTATGTCTTATAATACTTTTTACCATAGGGTTTATTTTGTGTAATGTTTGTGTACTTTGTGTAATAATTAGAGGTGGGACTATTGCTCTACTATGTTAATGTGTGTTCTATGTGGGCAGCAACTTATACAAATATTTTGTGTACTCAGTGTCTATGTAGGCATTCAATTGTTGAGTGACTAGGTAAACATTAAGGTGAAAATTAAATTTAAATCAGTTGGTTGGGGAAATCATCAGGTACATAAGATTGAGTTTAACATATTTTCTTAGTTCATTGTATTATCATTGGTTTGTGCAAGGGCCCATTGATCATTAGTTGGTTAGTTGGTTAATTTATCTCCACTCACCATTCCCCTTTCTACCTGTAGGCAAATGACTTAATGTGTTTGAAATTTGCCATAGAATTATGTGTATCCTCGTAAAAGATGTGATGTTGTTTCTGGTGAATGCATTTTTATTTGCATAAGTGGCATGGTGCTAGAGACCTCATTATATACCTTGCTTTTTAAACAATACCATATTTCTAAAATCTACTTATATTGTTATATTTTTAATGCTGTTCAAGGATTCAGCTGCTTTATAGTTTTCCTTAGGGTGCTTCCATATTTTATTTATTCCCTGGACTATAATTATGAATTTGTAATTTGTGATATTAGAAGGGATATAATCAGCCTATCAATATCTAGAATAATGACTATTATAAGTACTAATATTCCTTGAGTTTCACCAATTGTGCTCATTTTTTTATGCTCCTAGAGTTTTCCTACACTCCCAGATCTCTTGCATGCTTGCTCCCTGTCATGGGATAAGTTAATTTATCTGTAGTCTTTCTTCCCTGCAGGCTGGAATACTGTGGTTTGACCTCTCTCTGTTGTCAGTATCTCTCGTCTACTCTTAGCAGCAACAAAAGACTGATAAAAATAAACCTGACACAGAATACCTTAGGTTGTGAAGGAATTATGAAGTTATGTGAAGTCTTGAGGTCTCCTGAATGTAAACTACAAGTTCTAGGGTAAGTCTTCATTGGCTTCTCAGGAAGAAAGTTCTCTGGAATGAGGGAGTGGGGGAGCCACTCATTTATTGTAGGCCTCAGGATCCACCTGACTGTGGATCCTTGGGTATTTTCTGGGCCCTTATTTTTCTCCCATAGAACACTGAATTTTGAGAGGCATAATATAACATAGTGGTTAAGAGCCATGAACTCACCCTGGCCAGTGTGGCTCAGTAGTTAGAGTGTCAGCTCGTGCACCAAAGGGTTACGGATTTGATTCCTGGTCAAGGGCACATATCTGGGTTGCAGGTTCAATCCCTGGCCCCAGTCAGGGCACAGGTGGAAGGTAATCAATTGATGTGTCTCTCTCACATCTCTCTCTCTCTCCTTTCCCCTCTATCCCTCTCCCTCCCCCCTCTCTCCCTTCCACTCTATCTAAAATATTAATGGAAAAATAGCCTTGGGTAAGAATTAACAACAATAACAAAAGAGCCACAATCTCTAGAGCCAGACTACCTGAGTTTATTGCCACTTACTAGATATTTGAACTTGTGCTAGTCCCTAATCTCTCTGTGTCTCTGTTACCTTTTCTGTAAAATGGGTGAAATTATAATATCTACACATAGGCTTACTGTAAGGATTGCTCACCTGAGTCAATATAGGTAATCTCTAAAACAGTGCCTAACATAATAAACAAAGAATGTGTTAGCTGTTTTCATCATCATCATCAGTCGTACTATTGTGCTTGACGAATGGCTCTTGGAGGATCCTTTTAAATTTTAATCTGATTCTCTCTTTCTCTTCTATATTCCATTTTCCTTCAACTGCAGTATCTACTTCAGTATATCCCTTAGTTTTCTACTCCCCAACTATGTTAATATTCTCTCTCTCTTCAAAAGAATAGTTCCCCGACCCCTTGCCATGGAAATAAATTGTCCAGAGAAAGTAAAGGGCTGTGGGAAAATTGAGTGGAAGGAGAGATGTTCTCTTGTTTTCTCAGGTTGTGCAAGGAGGCATTTGATGAGAAAGCTCAGGAGCTGCTGAAAGCTGTGGGAATTAGCAATCCACGCCTAGTCATTAAGTACGATTGTAATGATCATAACGAAGAAGATGGTTCCTGGTGGCAGTGTTTCTGATGTAAAGAACTTGATATTCTTTGAAAAAGTAAAAGAAAGGCCTCAGAGTGCCAAGGCCTGGGGCTCTCAGCTTTACACACTGCGTGCCCAGACATACTGCATTTAATTTCTGTTAGATATGCATTAATCACTTCCCTGTCCAATGTCTGTCCTACTTCACAAAGGAGCTTGAGTGGCTAAAATAAAATGGAAAACATAAAGCTCTGTGAAAAGTGTACCATGACGTTTTCAGTTGGATGCAGGGCTTAAGAATCCAGATGTCTGCCCAGGCCGGTTTGGCTCAGCGGTTGGAGTGTTGGCCCATGGACCAGAGAGAGGTTCGGTTCCCACTAAGGGCACGTACCTTGGTTGCAGTTTGTCCCTGGTCCCGGTTGGGATCGTGTGGGTGGCAACCACTCAGTGTGTCTCTCTCACATTGATGTTTCTCTCTCTCTTTTCCTCCCTCTCTCCCTCCCGCTCTCTCTCAGGAAAAATGCAAAAATGTCCTCGGGTGAGAATTAGAAAAGAAAAAAAAAAGAATTCAGATGTCAGAAGCCTAGAATGAGGATGGGGCCAGGGAAGAGCATCTTGTTTTTCTTTCTCTGCATTCCCACTGCCGTTCTCTGTTCACAGCCTCAATGTCTGGTGTGTTTTATTGAATGCTTCTGTGTGTGTGTTGTTGGGACCACTAGTGTCAGAATCACTTAGGTATTTCTTAAAATGTAGATTCCTGAGCCCCACACTATACGTACAGAATCAGAATATCGGGGCGAATGTCCTAGGAACTGGCACTTTAAATACTTCCCAGGTAAATCTTTGGTACGTTAATATCTGAGAATCACTAGTCTCAGTAGAAATGGGCATCCACTTCTGCAGTGATCATTTGCTGTGGCCTACTGTGAAGGAGACAGATGGTTGGGTTCCTCTGTGTGACAGAAACAAGGCACAGTAAAAATTTCTGTAAAAGAATGTTTTGGTAATTGTTGCTGTGTAACAAACAATCCCAAAACTTGGTGGCTTCAAACAATAATCACTTCATTCCATGTCATGACTTGGTGGATTAGAATTCAGAAAGGGCTCAGCCGAGCATTTCTTAGGCTCCACAAGAAACAACTGGATGGAGTCCCTTGGTGGTATCCGGCTCCACGTGACCTCTCCAGCAGAGAAAATAGTTCTTTGATGGGAGTACAGGGTTTTAAGAGGCCAATTGGAAGTTGTCAGTTCTCCTAAAAGCCAGGCTCAGAATTGGCATAAAGTCACTCTGTCTTACTCCATTGGTCAAAACAGTACAGGCCAACCAGATTCAAGGGCAATCACTTCGTGATGCTGGATGGAAGTAGTGACCAAAAAATTGTGGCATTCTTTAGTCCACTACAAACTCAATCATTTTTGTCTCCCTGTCTATAGGAGATAAGAAAGCCCCTTAGGTAGTAAAATAGCCCCTGAGACAATGTGGCAGGGATGGGGACAAGAGTGAACCGTGGCAGTTAGAAGGGGCCAGATGGTAATCATGTGAACATGTATAGGTAATGTTACTGGAGCTGATACCTACACAGAACAGTGATATGGCTGACATCTGTCATAGATGATACCTAGAAAAGGGGTCGTTGATGACAGACATGCTAGCTGGAGAAAGCTAGCCTCAGGCTGTCAGACAAAGTTATACAAGTAAGTACAGTAATCGCCCCTTACCCACAGGGGATGCTTTCCAAGACCTGCAGTGGGTGCCTGAAACTGCAGAAAGTACTGAACTCAATACACAGTTTTTTGCTCTACATACATACCTTTTCACTAGCAGCTCTTTATGGCTTCTCTTTGGCATATCCGAGTTGCCAGCATCACTTCTCTTGCCCTTTGGGGCCACTGAGTAATGTAAGAGTAACTTGAACACAAGCACTGTGACACCATGACAGTTGATCTGATAACCAAGAGGGCTAAGCTGCTAAGTGGTGAAGGGTGGGGAGTGTATACAGCGTGGACAAAATGTGGACGAAAGGACGATTCACGTTCCATGTAGGATGGAGCAGGACAGCACGAGATTTCATCACTCAGAATAGCACACAATTTAAGACTTATGAATTATTTCTGGAATTTTGCACGCAATATTTTTGGACCACGGTTGACCTTGGGTAACTGAAACTATGAAATTCAAAACTGCAAATATGGGGGGATTACTGTATGCATCAGAGAAGTGGCGTTCCTTTCACATGGCAGCCTTGGGCCTCAGTGAGCATCTTATTCTTCAGACAACAGACAACAGTATTTCCAGGCTTCCCAGGTACAACTCCAAGGAGTGAGTGGATAAAGGCTGTTTATCAAGATGATTTCTACCAAACTTTCAGATCCAGGAAAATTACTCAGTTTTTTTTAAACCATTTCAGAGCATGATAGAGGAAGATAACTTTTCTATTTCATTTTATAAATCTAGAAAAAGGATAATAGAACCTCACAAAGATAGCTCTATAGAGAAATTTACAGTTGAATGTCACTTATGCATATATATGCACAGACAAAATATAAATATTTGAAAATTCTAACATTCAATTAAAATATGCCGTGACTATTATGATTCATAACAGAAGTGCAAAAGAGGACAAGTATTAGGAGGAATGTTATAATTTATGACATCAGTTGTTGGAGAAAGATCAAATACTGTAACTACCTTAATATATACTGCAAAGGCATTTAATAAAATTTAGTCTTTTTTGTCAGGTACTTCTATAACATGGTGAGGAATGTTTACCCTAAACAACAGTATACTAGAAGCTTTGCCATTTCAGTTTTGAAAACGTGCCTGGTATCACTGCTCTCAGATAATCCATGGGCCAGGGTTGGAGGAGGCAAGTGAGGCACTGTTCTCAGGGCTGTGCCAGTCAGTGGTAAATACTGTCTTCATTACAATCTTTTATATTTGGTTATGGATTTTTTTTTGCATTAATTTTTATTAAAAAAACACTGTACTAAAATATTTATTTTTATTTCTGAGTTTTAGGGGGCATCTCCTTAAATTTTGTGCATCAGATCAATCATTCCCCTCATCTTAAACAGAGCTCTGGGCTATAGGAAATGTTTGCAATTTTACATAGCATAGTTAAGAATCAAATAGGATAGCTGAAGAATCAAATAGCTTTGTTGACTCTTTACATTTTATCTTCTTAAAAATTAAATTTATTTTGTGAATTATTATTGAATTATTTGTTATCTTTGAATTTGTTCTGTCAGTATGGTAACTTGTTAGGTTAGATGCTTACCTTATTGATCTCCAGCCTTCTGCCTCTTTTATCATAAACATTAAGGCCATTTATTTCCCTCTATATTTTAGCTGAATCCCCATGCCTGAATATGGAGTATCTTCATTAGCATCCATGTCCAAATATTTTCTGATTTACACCGGAATATTTTTTTTCCTGTGATCATATGTCACACAGAAGTATGCTTGTGAATTTAGAGAACTTAGGTGTTTTTATTGATTTTTAACCCAATTGAGTTACGGTCAGATAATGTGTTCTGCATGAAAATATTTTTTGAAATTAGTTAAAATAGACTTTGCGGCCCAGTTAGTATACAATCAATTGTGTGCTTGAAAAGAAGATGCATTTTCCCATAATTAAGTGCATTACACACACACACACACACACACACACACTTTTAATCCTCACCCGAGGATATATTTTCATTTATCTTCAGAGAGGAAGGGAGTGGGGGAGAGAGAGAGAGACAGAAAAATCAATGTGAGAGACACACATGGATTGGTTGCGTCCCACACCACCCCAGCCAGGGCCAAACCGTAATCAAGGTATGTGCCCTTGACAAGAATCAAACCTGCAACTCTTTTTGTACTAATTTTTGCTAGTTAATCTATCAGTTATTGAGAACATTATCCTCTAATGTGATGAAAATTTTTTTTTCTGTACTTTAAATTTTTGCTTTAGATATTTTGAGACTATGTATGGTATTGAGCCAGTGTGGTGAAATATGTCACAGGCAGCTTTGAAATTGCATACTTTAGCTTAGCAACCAAGGAGAAAAAATGTCTTCTATTCCCCTGCTTTGGTTTAAAATATCTTCCAAAGACTCTAGCCCATCATTGACCCAGTGATGCAGTAAAATATAATTTTTAAGGATTTTAAATCATGGCTCTTATACAAATGCAGAACGAACACTTGTCAGAGATTATTGTCAATTCATTGGTAAGGGAACCAGTGAGATGCTGGTTTAAAAAAAAGAGGAATGAGGGTTTATATAGCCACTATAAAGGTGTTACCCTAAAAACAGAAGGCTGAAGTGAGAGGCAACATTTATTTGGCATTAAAAAAAAAAAAAAAAGGATAGCTATTCAGGAAGCCGAGATTCAGGCAGAAACCTAAATAGTATTCTGGTTTAGGAGACAAAGGTAGGGATATTTATGAAAAATGGATGGGGAAAATTACATCAGTAGAAAGAATGTTTCTCTCTTGGTGCAAATAAGCAAATTCTAAACTATGTTTTACTTTTCAGTCCAGCAGTCATCAATCTGTCATCATGTCTGTTTTCCTGTTATCTTTTCAAACAGTTCTTTGGGACATAACATTGCTTTAGGCCCAGTCCAAAGGTTACTTTGCCCTGTATTAACACTCCAAAGGTTCGAGGAGAAGACATCCAGGGCAGTTCCTCTGGGATGGCAGCTTCTACCCCATTTAAAGTGGCTCCATTTATATTATTTTTCACATTTTCCCTATTTCGATCAAGATTTTTCCTTGAAAACATTGCTGATCAATTATCAGGAAGCAACATTAATTATTAAAAGCATCATTGGTCCTCCATTGTCAGGATGGCTCATTTGGGGGGATGTCATGCCTTTGTAGGTCCCTCATTGCCAGGAAGGCTCATTCCCTGTATGTCATGTTCCATGTAGAAGGGAAATGGTTTTCTTTTTTCTTAGGAGCTTTAGGCCACATTTGAGCAATAAGAGAACCAACACAGAAGAAGGCTTTACCATTATGTTTAAGGGCAAATACCTACTGTAGTTTCTTGAGGTTTTTCATATGAAATCTTATAGGCCTTAGTGATTATGTCAAAACATTGAGCAACCATTATCAGCATGTGTCCTTATAACAAAAAATTCTATAATAACAAACAGAGTGCTAAGTCCAATTTGAAGAGTAGATCTGAACCAAAACGCAGCACTTGAGGGCAGTTAGCTGAAGATACTAAAGAACCATGAGGTGTCAGTAGGCACTGTATTTAATCATTTGGCTTGTGCTTGGATTTTATCAGGTTTCATTCTTATTTCACCAGAAGTGTTTTACCCAAGTATAACACAGAGCAAACCCCAATTTGTTTGGTTAGGATATAGTCCAGAGCAATTCTGTTTAATATAACCTGTACAAGAGAATTTGAAGATTTTTCTGGTTGGCTGTGGCAGTCATTATAATACCTGCCCATGGAAAAAGTGTTTTTCCAAATTTTGTACCTGTTCTGCGGTTGACCTCACCAGGCATTAAACATCCTTGACTGTGTGTAACTAGCTGCACATTTGGAGCTATGAAGTAGGCTTAAAGGTGATGCCCAGTGGTGAGTAAGGGGTAGAGGGAAACAGTATGGTGAATGCGTGGCCTCCCATATTATTTGTGAGCTAGGAAAGAACTGAAGTAAGGAAAAAAGGGCCTGGTCCAGAATCCTGGATTCGTTATCCACAACAGGTGTTGTCTACTTCACTTTCTAGTCATTTAAAAAGTTTAAAACCTGTTGGTTTAGCAGTCCAGTTAGGTGTTAGAGCAGTAAGAGCACCAGCACAGAGGGAATGTGAACCATTTCATGGGAAACACGAATCCAAGAATTAATAACTTGAAATTTGATCATAAATGGATTAGTCAAGAGTGCCTGAAATTTTGGAAAGATCAAGTAGGAAGGAAGAGATGTTTTAATTTTGCTTACAAAGGTTTAATTTACCAAACTGCCATATGTCATAGGTAACTTAAGGGAGAAAATAATTTCTTAGGTCTGGAAAACAAGTATCAAATGCCAGTAACATTTTATATTAAAAAATTATAAAAATTATAATCATTCTTATCAAGTCATTTAGTCTCGTGTTATTAAAAATGAAACTAGACCACCTTCTTCTACACCGTGTATAAGAATACACTTAAAATGTATTAAAGACCTAAATGTAAAACCTGAAACCATAAAACTCCAAAAGAAACCATGGCAGTATACTCTTTGACATTGCTCTTAGTGGTATTTTTTTCTGATATACCTCCTTGGGCGAGGGAAATGAAAGAATAAACAAATGGGACTACATCAAACTAAAAGTTTTTGCACAGTAAAGGAAACCATCAACAAAAAGAAAAGGTAGCCTATAAATTGGAAGAAGATATTCACCAATGATACATCTAATAAGGGATTAATATCCGAAATTTATGAAGAACTCATACAACTTAACACCAAAAAAAAAAAATTTTCAATTAAAAAATGGGCAGAGTACCTGAATAGACATTTCTCCAAAAAGAACATACAGATGACCAATAGACATGAAAAGATGCTCAATGTCACGAATCATATGAGAAATGCAAATTAAAACTACAGTTAAATATCACCTTACACCTGTCGGAATGGTTATCAGTAAATCAACAAGTAAGTGTTGGCAAAGATGTGGAGAAAAAGGAACCCTTGTACAGTTATTGGGGTTGTAAATTGGTGCAGCCACTATGGAAGACAGTATGGAGGTTCCCCCCAAAATTAAAAATGGAACTGCATTATGACCCACAATTTCACTTCTGGATATTTATCCAAAGAAATTCAAAACACTAATACAAAAAGATATGCATTCCTATGTTCATTACAATATTATTTATAATATTAAAGATATGGAAGCAACCCAAGTGCCCATTGATAGATGATTGGATAAAAAAAAAAAAAAGCTGTGATACATATATACAATGGAATATTACTTGGCTATAGAAAAGAATGAAAGCCCTGGCTCCCTGGCTTATTTAGCTCAGTGGTTAGAGCATTGGCCTGAGTACCAAAGGGTTGCAGGTTTGATTCCTAATAAAGGGCACATACTTGGGTTGCAGGTTCAATCCCCAGGCCCCAGTCAGGGCAAATGCAGGAGGCAACAAATCAATGTATATCACATCACTGTTTCTCTCTCTTCCCATCTCTTCTTCCCTTCTACTCTCTAAAAATCAATGGAAAAAAATATCCTCGGGTGACAAGTACCCTAAATAAATACATAAGAATGGAATCTTAAGATTTACAACAGCACCAATGGGCCTACAGGATATTATGCTAAGTGAAGTAGAGAAAGACAAATACCATATAATTTCACATATGTGGAATCTAAAGAATAATATAGACAAAGCAGAAACAGACTCATGGATACAGAGAACAGACTGATAGTTGCCAGAGGCACTGGAGGTTGCAGGTGGGTGAAAAAGGTGAAGGGATTAAGAATACAAATGGGCAGTTACAAAATAATGATGGGCATGTAAAGTATAGCATAGGGAATAAAGCCAATAATACTATAATAACTATGGTGCCAGGTAGTTACCAGACTTATCAGGAGGATCACTTCATAAATTATATAAATGTCTAACCATCATGCTGTGCACCTTAAACTAGGTGGACTGAAGAAATATCTTGTTACAACTAGGATTTAAACTGAGATATTAATTTTAAAAAATTAGAATAGAACACACTAAGTTGCTTATATTCAAATCTACATATTAATTTCTAGGTTTGTGTATAACTAAACCATGGAATAAAATGGAACCAATTCAAAATAAAGACTTGTCTATTTACTAAATAAAGTGAAAGTTAAAACTGAAATAAAAACTCACCATGTATGCCACCTTAGGACATGATGTTAACTAGTCCATATAGTATACACTTTAAGCTAAGATACAATTAGAATAAACCTTCTTAAAAACTCAGTGCACTATGTCTTACCTAAAAATTTAGAACAAAAATATACAAGCTGTTAATCCAAAGGATGTGGAAAGACGGGAGTCAATAGCATCAAATAAGGTCAAAACAGAGGATCAGCAAATAAAAAGTATGGTTCTTTGAAAAACTTCTGACAAGACTGATCATAAAGAAGTGAAAAAGAACAGCTATCCTTAAAATTTCAAATTAAAAATAACTCTTAGAAAAGTATATCCTACAAAAATCAAGTCAAGAAGAAAATTTTTAAAATTGGAGTAGACTCAAAACTAAACGAAAGGTAGGCAAAATCTCCCCAGTGAGAAAGAAAATCGGTCAAATTTCTAAGTATGAGCAAACAAAAATCATCAATATGTTTAAAAATGAATACATCTCAAACAGGTTTACTTTAGAAATATAATGCTTTAATAATAAAAATCTGTTACTGCAATTCATCACATTAACTGATGTTACCCATTTGCTTTAACTGGTAAAAAATATTAAAACCTTAAAAGCATCCCCATTGAAGTCAGAAACATCATAAAAATGCCTGCTTTCATTACCTCTCTCGTTATATAGCTACTGCAATAAACGAATGTAACACATATACACATACAGACATCTCGCGACTATTAACTTTTCACCTTAGCAGTCTTTGAAAAAATTATTCCACGTCTTAAGAAACAGCCCCCAGTCGCACTAAATATAGTTGTAAAAAAGCGTTTTTAAACTTTCAAGTCTCAAGCAAAGATACATTCACCAAGTTATTTTTCTTCACACTTCGGAGAATATTGGACAGAACAAATTTGAATTGTGTATTTTGTTTCAATGAACCCAAAATATATTTTCTGAGGAGTTCCTCATTGAAGACGAAGAGGTGAAGCCTTCGGTTTGTTATGCTTGTTCAATTGCTACTTTGATGAGTGTCCAAGTGCTCTCATGTTTTGCCTTTATTTTGTTGAAACGTGACTTTCTGTGCAATAATACCTTTATTTGAAAGGGCAGTTTCAAGGCCACATGTCTATGAGCCCTTGGAAGACTGAAAAACAAGGCAACAGTGCGTCCAAAGAATGATCCACTCTTCTTCCTATTCCACCAACCAACTGCCCACTATCACCTATCTATTCCCCTTTGGCAAAAAAAAATCAAATACATTTTACGTACAAATTGCATTTTTGAACTTTTAAATTGTTATTCGTTATTTCATTTTTTAACGAAATTTTTGCTTAAAATGGTTTCGGAAACTTTGTAGTGCATTACAGTTCTCGGTAGAGTAACGGGGAAAACTTTGTATCTTCATCTACCAGTTTTTCACTTCACAGCAGCACTTTAAGGGAAGACCTTAAAAACCTTAACGCCAGGGCCAGGTGAATAAAGTCAAGTGGAGAGAAGAGGGAAGGAAAGTCATCAAACTGCCGACAGACCCTCCCGGAAGGCGGGATCGCGTGCCCGGGAAACCGACCAATCACAGCGCGCAGGAGCGCCCAGGCCGCGGGAAGCGCCCGGAGCGGCACAATCCGGAGCGTTCCGCTGCGCAGCGGGGGGCGGGGACTGCGGCTCCGGCTCCGACGTCGTCGTGCCACCCGACCGGTAGGAGCCGCCCTGGGCGAGCGGGCGCATAGGCCACGAGGGACGCCGCCTCTCCGCCTCCCACCGCCTCTGGTCCCTGGGCCTGCCGACATGGTTGAAGCCGATCGCCCCGGGAAGCTCTTCATTGGCGGGCTCAGCCCCGAAATCGACGAGAAAACCCTCGAGGCCGAGTTCGGCAAGTATGGCCGCGTCATCGAGGTGCTCCTGATGAAAGATCGAGAAACCAGCAAGTCCAGGGGCTTCGCGTTCGTCACCTTCGAAAGCCCCGCGGACGCCAAGGCCGCCGTCAGGGACATGAACGGCAAGTCGCTGGATGGTAAGGCCATCAAAGTGGCCCAGGCCACCAAACCGGCGTTTGAGAGCGGCCGTCGGGGCCCGCTGCCGCCGTCCCGCAGCCGCGGTCGCCCGAGGGGCCTGCGCGGGGCTCGTGGGGGCGGTGTCGGCCCGCGGCGCTCGCCCTCCCGGGGCGGGTCAGCCGACGACGGCGGCTACGCGGGGGATTTCGACCTGCGGTCCTCCAGGGCCCCGATGGCCATGAAGCGCGGGCCGCCGTCGCCGCGCAGGGCCGGCCCGCCCCCCAAGAGGGCCGCGCCGTCGGGCCCGCCTCGCAGCAGCGGCGGCGGCGGCGGGCTGCGCGGGCGGGCCCCGGCCGCGCGTGGGCGAGATGGCTACTCGGGCCCGCCGCGCCGGGAGCCGCCCCCGCGCCGGGACCCCTACCTGGGCCCCTGGGAGGAGGGCTACTCGTCCAGGGACAGCTACTCCAGCCGCGACTACCCCAGCGCCCGCGACTCCCGGGATTTCGCCCCCTCGCCCCGCGAGTACACCTATCGCGATTACGGCCACTCCAGTGCCCGGGACGACTTCCCATCGAGAGGCTACGGCGACCGAGACGGCTACGGGGGTCGCAGCCGTGACTACGCGGATCACCCCAGCGGAGGCTCCTACCGAGATCCCTTCGAGAGCTACGGAGACCCGCGCAGCGGCAACCCCGCGCGGGGCCCGCCGCCATCTTACGGCGGCCGAGGCCGCTACGACGAGTACCGGGGCTGCTCGCCCGACGGCTACGGCGGCCGCGACAGTTACGGCGGCGGCCGCAGCGACCGCTACTCCCGGGGCCGCGACCGCGTCGACAGGGCCGAGCGCGGGCTCCCCGCGTCCGTGGAAAGGGGGTGCCCTCCGCCGCGCGATTCTTACAGCCGGTCGGGCCGCCGCGCCCCCAGAGGCGGAGGCCGCCTAGGAAGCCGCTTGGAGAGAGGGGGAGGCCGGAGCAGATACTAAGTCGGAACAGACTTGGGACCAAAACCGGTCTTCCGAGAGACTAACGAAAAGAAGATCCTGGTCTGTGGTAACTACCTGAGGACTAGTACAAGGAAGAGTTGTTTTCACATTTTGAGAATTTCCTGTTAACTTCCTCTCCCATAATTTTGGTTCTTTTGAGAGGAAAACGTTAAAAGTCGTTTAATTTCGTTTTGGAATTGTTAACGTTTCTTTCAACAAGCTCAGTTTAAAAGCATGACTCGAATCTGCGTACTGGTCTTCTGTTTCCAAGTAGAAATTCTGCTAAAGGCTTCCGCCTGTCTCAGTTTTTCCTGGTAAATGACGCAAACAGCTCTAAGATCTTTTACAAATATCTGCCCACTCAAAGTGGAAAAATGGATCATTCTGTCCATTCAGATCAACTAGAATTTTGGGGGGGGGAGTGGGGAGGGGGTTGGTGTATGCTCTTCTTAAAGATTTAAGGGGGTATTTGAAACTGAATCTGAGTGTTCCCAGTAATAAACAAATGGCCAGCAAAGAACAAAAACCACTAAATCAGGTGCTAAAGAAAGTTGTATTCATAAATCAAAAAAAGCAAATGGATAATACTGGCTATAATTTGGCTTTTTGCCTTTTCTTTGGGCATCTGCAGAATCTTTTGACCCCTTGCCCCCCCAAATACCATTCATATGTCTTGGGCAAGGATGGAATACTAAATTAAAGATTTGGCCAACCAACCACAAAGCTGCAAAACTAAAACCAGAAAACATCCGTTAATACCATTTATTTCACCACCACCAAATTATTAAGAAACAGGTAGAAAATACACCATTGGTGGATTTGGGGATCTTAATGACTTCAATTCCTATCTCCAAGCTACTTGCCATTGTCTCTAGAGCCAGCTGCTGGCTCCTGTGGAAAGAACTGGGCTTACTTCCCTAAGGGTGTAGGAATTAAATGTGAGCAACATCAGAAATTCAGAGAATCCCTGAGAGAGCTTGGCCATTCAACATCTGAGGATCTCAACCTGGTGTGAGAGACTTGAGTTTTCCTGTCCATAAAGGCAAAGGGTTGGGTTGAGTGTACCATATCTTAAGGTGGGGAAAGGGCTTGAGCAGACAAAGATCAGAGAGGCTTCCTCCAAGGTGACTCAGGAGGGATATAACAGTCTCCTTTTTCTACCTCAAGCTCAGGGCAAAAAACACCTTGTCCACTCAACACCTGTGGAATTTCCCTACTTATCTGAGAGAAAGTAATTGTATAGTCAAGGGACTCTAGTGACCAGAGAAAGAACGATTAGATAAAATACTAGGATCTATGTTCAGCATAATAATTACTGGAGGAGACAGACCAACCTCTGAACAACAAAAACGTATTTAAGGAGATCTGAATGTAACATACTGACATACACAACTCTAAAAACATGATTTTTTTTTTTTGACAAAATAGTAAAGTAAATGAATTACAGGAAAGGCTGCATTAGTGGCCAGAAGACCAAATGTAAGAAATAGCTCCAAAAAAAAAAAAAATTCCAGGAATTAATCTGGCAGAAGTGGGTAAGACCTTTATGGAAATATTATTAATCATTATTAAAGGACATAACAAAAGACTAAATAAATGGAGAGTCATATCATGAAATGGTTGGGAAGACTTTTTATCATAACTATTCTTAGCCTCACCAAATTAATTTGGAAAATAAATAAAACTTCAAATGAAATTACAAAACGATTTTTTTTTTCCACACAGCTCCCCTCCCCTCTTTCCTGATAACACCATTTGTGTTGATCAACGATGGAATACTAAATAAAAGATTTGGCCAACCACAAAACTGAAAAAAAAAAAAAATCAGTAGCTTCATTTCACTCTCAACAAATTATTAAGAAGCAGGTTAAAAAAAAAAAAAAAAGTCACTTATGGGAGATTTAGCTAATCCTAAAACTTTCATGGTGAAATAAAGAGCAAGAAGAGGCAAAGCAATTCTGAAAAAGCATTAGAAATGACTTAACTTTACTTACTCATTTTTCTGAAAGAATGCTTAGAAATCAATTTAAGAAAAAACACCAAGAAAATATAATTTTGGCAATGCCTAGTAATGTTGGAGTTTGCATACTCTATGACTTACTGCAAAGTTCCAGTAATTTAAGCTGTGTGTTATCAACAAAGATAGACCAGTAGACCAAAATAGCCTAGAAACAGGCCCACTTGTATATGAAAACATGATATATGAGAGAGAGAGCTTTAAAAGATACTGGTGAAAGGATGGATTTTTTAATGCCTATTTCTTTGCAAAAAGATACAATGAGATTACCTAACAGCATACACAAAAATACATTCTAGATGGTTTGAAGATGTAAATGTGAAGAGGAAATTTTTTAAATACAAGAAAATGAAGAAATGTGTCACACTGGGGTAGAGAATTTCTTTTTAAGACAGAAAGCACAAATCTAGAAGAAAAACGACATAACTTTCCACATTATTATGACATTTTATGATAAAAGACACTGCTAAAATGAAATATAAAACCATAGTTTGAAATAATTTATTTGCATTGAAATAACTTCCAAAAGAATGCTTAGAAATCAATTTAAGAACAAACAGCAAGAAAAAATAATTTTGGCAATGCCTAGTAATGTTGGAGGGTGCATACCATATGATCCAGAAATTTTACTTCAAGGAGAGGATCTAGAGAAGTGTTCACATGTACACAAGGAGGTATACACAAGATTGGGCCTTACAGCATTCTTTGAATTTTTAAAAAGTAGGAACAGCCTACCTGCAGAGGATCAACTGAGGTTTATTATAATGAAGTTCAATGTAGAAGCCAATGTGAATCAACCAGACCCACATGCATCAACATAGGTAAATATCAAAATATTTGGGGGGGGGGGGAAGGAAAATTGCATAAATATAAGTATAATTATTAAAGGGACAAATAAGATTGGTGTGATATACAAAAAGATTGTTTCGTGTGAGGGCGAAAGGAAGATGGGATGAGTAGTGGGTTTTAGCTGAATCAATCTATAGTGTTCTGTATCTTCAAAAGCGATGGTTTTTAGCAAAAATAACAATGGTTAACACCTTAAATTTCTGTGGTCTGTATTTTGGAATCTTACTGTTATTCTATAATTTTAAAATACTTTTTAAGTTTTTTTTTCTTTATTGATTTTAAGGAGAGAGGAAGTGAAAAGGAGAGAGAGAGAGAAATATCGATGAGAGAGATCATTGATTGGCTGCCTCCTGCATGCTCCCCACTGGGAATTTGGCCCACAACCTGGGCATGTGTCCTGACCGGGAATCAAACTGGCGACCTCTTGGTGCATGGGTCACGCTCAACCACTGAGCCACACCAGCCGGACATTAAAATACTTTCTAACACACGAAAAATAGAGCTTAGCATAGCATGAGCATATAATGGCTGCTCAAAAAATGTTATCTATTGTTCTGAGACTGTGCAACACTTATTGACTGATTCTCCCAGCCTTACTGTCTCATCAATGTAGGTGATTCCTTATTCTATTTGACTCATTAAAAAGAACCTTTCTGTTATCCTAGACTGTTCTCACAGCTAGCTCACCGTAACCTCCAGGGTAGAAATTGCAGATCTGAAAACCAAATCTTAGAAAAGTGCACTTTTTCTCTCTGACATTCTTTTTGAAGCATAAGTGACAAAAAACTTTTTCCAGTGAACAGAATATTAATTCTGAACAGTTATTTCTGAAGAGTAGTCTCCTGAATATTGAGACTATTAATTTTTAAAAAAATAGAAGTGTAAACATTTGGAAATAAAGACCCAGAGCTTAGATGAGTTCAAAAGATCATAGCATACCAAGGCTGTGGCTTTCTCATGTACATATATAAGAGCCCCAATTTTTTTTTTACTGAATATTAATGTATTAAAGTTATTTTTATAGGAACATATGAAAGAGATCTAATCAATTGAGAACTCTTGCTTATAATTGCTTTCATAATGATGAGCAAGAGGGTCAGGGAATAAATCAGGTGTTTTGCAGGATTTATCCACAGGGCATAATTTAAGAAATGTACGTCTCGTAACCAAATCTTTATTTCTCTACCTTGAGTTTGCCTTCTCAGCTTATGCCTGAGACCCCCATCTTCACATTCCTTCTGTCCAAAATGGATCCAGGAGCATCCAAACTGTACATGGGGTAACTGACAGCATTACTGACTATTTCCCCACCAGGTGAGGCCCGAGCATCTTCCATCTCTGACTGCAACCTCAATCCTGCTGTGGAGCCTGGGGCTCTCTGAGTGCTAAAGGTGGAGTTTTTTCACCCTTTTTCTCTTTTTTTATTTCTCACCCGAGGATACTATTCTATTTATCATCATGTAGAGTGGGAGGGAGGGAAAGAGAGAGAGAGACAGAGAAAAACATTGATGTGATAGAGCCACATCAACTGGTTGCCTCCTGGGGCCGGGGACACTGCAACCAAGGTACGTGCCCTTGGCCAGAATCAAACCCGTGACTCATGGTCCTCGGGCTGATGCTCTAACCGCTGAGCCAAACTGGTCAGGGCTCACCCTTTTTCTTTATCTCCCTGTTTTCTCTTGCCTCAGGACAGGTATATGGGAAGACTTTACTGCCTGCATTCCTCCTACCTGGAGCCTAATTTCTCAGCCTTTAATTATGTGGGGCCCATGTGCCTCTCTTTTAGCCTTTACCTTAAAGGTGATGTGATTTTCCTCCTCTTCCTCCACAAAAAAATTCTTTCTGGGGACAGTTGCCATGTCCTCCTCTGTTGGACATATTTAAAAACTCAACAAGAAGAATCATAATGTTGCTTTCTCTGCACACATGGAATCCAGTGGTAGTGGGAATGTCTTTCAGAATCTGTATGTTCTGTTTGTGTTGACATTTCTTCTGCAGCTAATTTATCTTGCCATGTAGCACATTGAAGAACTCTAAAAATGATTCTGAGTCTAAATATTTTGTGAGTGACATTGAACATGAGTATCAAGGGCAAAAAAATAATTCTAGAGGAGCAAAGATGACCCTAGCAATT